ACTTGCGGGCGGCTGGAGAGAGGTCGCACCGCAGGGGAGTCCCCCTCGCGAGAGGCGCGTCGTGACCAAAACCTGCAGGCAGGCACGGCCAAACAGGCGTCCGGACTCCTGAGTTGTGTGAGACCTGAAGAGAGGTACATGCGGCTGAGCTAAGGAGCAGAGACAGAACCTGTAATTCAGTCGCGATAGAAAGTTTTAACAGCGTTATGCGTTGGATCCTGCTCATTTTTTAATTCTCGGAGGCAGATGAAGGAGATGTAAGTCTCAGGCTGTCTCCACGCGTTCCTTTTATTTTAAATCCTTCTCTGTGAAGAGGTTTAGGTATGGGTATGCCCTTGATCTGTTTTCCTTTGACACTAACGTGTTTTGTATAGACCCGGCTGCCTGGAGCATTGCCTTATGCTATCTTGCTAGTCTGTTTTCTTTTCTTCTCGTTGCAGTATACTGTTTCCCTTTTAGGTAAGTAATAGCTATAAAAGTTCTGCAGTAGTCTTCTTATGGTTCATAGTGTGAGCCTCATAGTCTGTAGTGGTGCTCCTCAGCTCTCCATGGGGGTGTGTAAGAGAAGGATATAAATTGTAAATTTTGCCTTAAAATGGCGGGATTGTACTCTCCATTTTGTGTGCTGCCTATACAAGTACACATGATACATTTTGCATTTCTACATGCCTCCTCAGGTTGGTTCTCTATCTGTTATTCACATCAGACTTGGGATTGCTTTTGAGAGGCAGAAATAATGTATGATTCTTCTCATGTTCATAGTTGTAATTGTAAGCAAAGGATAAATAACTGGATTTTCAGCATCAAGCCGATGTGATGGGACCAAGCAAGCCAACCATGTCTGATGCTACATTTGCATTCACTACGCAGCTGTACAGGAATGAAGCAAAGGCTTTACAAACACAGGTATTATTTGACTTCTGCAGCGATGCTGAATTGGTTTTCATTTGTGATTGTTATAAAAAGATGATTATGACCCACTTCCTGAGAATAGCCCACTAGTGAGTGTGAAATCTTCATACTTGCTTTCATGATGCTGTTATACATAATCTTGACCCTGTCCTTTTGTAAGGGTATGGATCAGAAACTACATCTGTAAATGTTATTTACCTGTTTGTTGTGGTTTAATCCCAGTAGACAACTAAGCACACAGCCGCTCACTCACTCTCCCCCAGTGGGATGGGGAAGAGAATTGGAAGAGTAAAAGTGTGAAAACTCATGGGTTGAGATAAAGGCAGCTTACTAGGTAAAGTGAAAGCTGCACGTACTAGCAAAGCGAAATAAGAAATTCATTCACTACATCCCATCGGCAGGCAGGTGTTTAGCCATTTCCGCAGCTTCATCACATGTAAAGGTTCCTTGGGAAAACAAATGCCGTAACTCCAAACATCCCGCCTTTCCTCCTTCTTCCCCCAGCTTTATATGCTGGGCATGACGCCATACGGTGCAGAATATCCCTTTGGTCAGCTGGGGTCAGCTGTCCCAGCCGTGTCCCCTCCCAACTTCTTGTGCCCCCCCAGCCTGCTCACTGGTGGGGTGGGGTGAGGAGCAGAAAAGGCCTTGACTCTGTGTGAGCGCTGCACAGCAGTAATGAAAACATCCCTCTGTTATCAGCACTGTTTTCAGCACAAATCCAGAAACATAGCCCCGTACTAGCTACTATGAAGAAAATTAACTCTATCCTAGCCAAAACCAGCACAGTATCTTAAGCTCTTGCTTTACTACACGGAAACAGAACCTAGAAACTTTCTTCTGGTACCATGTTTCAGCTTTCCATTTCTCCTTCATCATGCATCTCCTTCTTCATTTCTCCTTCTGTTACCTTTGTAAATTTAGTAATGCCTTACTAAATCAGTATGCTATAATCATACCCATTTATATTACTAATGTTAATTGTTGTTATAACTCATTAATTTCATTGTCAGAACTCTTAAAAAAAAATCTTTATAAGGGCATTCATTGTCCATTGCCCAGTCACTTTGGAGCGGATTTTTGAATGTGTGTACCCTCCCTGAGGTGCCCACCCTAAGTTGCAGATAAGTGCCTAATGTTATTTACAAGATGATCTAAATGCTTAATTCAAAATAATTTTAAATACTGGCATTTGTCTGAGTGGACGGAATGCCTTGCATGCATTGAAGAAGTACCATCATGACAGAACGCATCCTAATATGAAAGAAGATCCATCTTCCTTACTGTTATACACTAGAAGTACATCACCTGTGTAAAGTGTTCTGTGTAACATCAACTTTTTTTTTTACCCTTTGGAACAGCTCCAGTTTAATAGAAATGTCCCTGCAGTTCCAGAGAACTTGGCTCTCAGATTCTCTAACCCCCGTCCAATTATAATAGAAAAACTGAAGGCATCCAATGATCAGAGAAATCTAGCTGGAAGTGAGGACCCCAGCATAAGAAGCTCTGTCATGTTTTCAGTGATATCTGAAGAGAGACTAAAATTGGCTATTCAGCTAGCCAAAAGGGACATAAAACGAAGACATCTTGAAGAGCACGTGAAACAGCAAGTGTTTGGAGATGCTGTCAATAAACCATTGTTAGCCCAGAAGTCACAACAGCAGAAGACTGAAGTATTTGAAAGTCCAGAAAATAAAAATGCAGTGAAGTCTCAAACTCACTTGAAATATCAGCAGAAACTTGGTCAACCTTCCAAAGTGGAGACTACCATCTCTGGCGCTAAAGTTTATCTCTACACACCAAATGAGAGAAAACTAATACCAGCTGTTTTGGACTCTCCACCCACCCATGACACAGGACCGGACCCCAAGCCAAATGTAAACAAAAAAGAAGATAAAAATATGCAGGAAGTCCGACGGCTGCAAAAGGAATTGAGGAGCTACATCCACAAAATTGAAGAACTGACTAAAAAAGGTGTAAGACTGAACAATAATTATGTTATATAAATGTACAGTAGTTGGTTGATTTGTTTTTCTGGTTTTTGGCTTAGATTAGAACCCGTATTTAGCTCTGGATTTTTGAGAACCATCTACTTTTTTCAGAAGTAGATAAAAGCTAGAATGGCTAGCCAGTTTAAGCAATAGCAGGGTTTAATATCTTTGAGTGTTTGTGGTAAGTTCCAATCCAACCTGCAACGATAGTAAATTAGCGGTAGGCTATTTAATAACGTGGGTGAAAAAATATTGGTGTCTGTAGGCCTATTGATTCAGACTGCAAAAAACAGTATCATAATTAACCACATTCTTATCGGTGATGAGAAAGGGGCAACAGTTAGTAAAATTTCATTTCACGAGTCTGACTCACCTAATTTATGGCTGTGCAGTAGCATGATTAATGTGCTTTCTGACACTGTTGTGGGCTAACCCTGGTCAGCAGCAAAGCGCCACACACTTGTGCTTCTTTTCCCCCTGGTGGGACGGGGGAGAGAATAGAAAGATTAAAAGCAGGAAAACTTACGGATTGAGATAAGGATAGTTTAGGAAGGGAAGGAAAGAGGAAGAAGAAAGAAAAAAAAACAAGTGATGTAAAGGCAATCACGCGCTACTTCCCACAAGTAGACCCAATGCTCAGCCAATCTGTGAGCAAAGGCTACCTTCCCTCAAAAAAACTCCATTTTTTTTTTTATTGCTGGGCACGGCATGGAATATCCCTTTGATCGGTTGGGGTTAGCTGTCCTGGCTGTGTCCCCTCCCAGCTTCTTTCACACCCCCAGCCTCTGCACTGGCAGGGCGTAGTTGAGCGTAGTTGAAAAAAGAGAAAGCCTTAGTGCTTTGCAGTGCTTTGCTGCTCAAGGGAGCCCTGCAAAATGTGATACATTGTGTATTGGTTCTGCATGAAAGAGGGTTATTGCTAAATTATGTTTGTTATCATGGCTTAATAGGGATTTTCACAAGTTAAATGAAGACATAAGACTTTACATTTCATGCTTTTTAGGGGGAGAGAGAGAAATTTTAGATCCTGATAAAGAGCAACAAGTTTGCACTAGGAGACAGAAACAAGCTGCACGGTCAGCTCGGATGCTGTATGTGCTCCAGCAACAGGTAGGAATCAGTGTTTTAAATTGAGATGTAGAGTAGCTAGTTTATTGTGATGAATTCGACAGAAATTAACTGAAACAAGAGAAATTCAATTGGGTTATCTCTGAACTTCCATGGCATTCTAGTTTAGATCTGGATGGTGTGACTAATTTCTCTCATGACTGGACAGAGAGATGAGCATCACTGTTGGAAAAATTGGACTTTCACTCAAACGTTACAGTGAAGATTAATTGTTCATTTATAGACATGGAGCTAATTCTGACTGACTTTCCCCTCTCCCCCTCCTTTCTTGATAAACAGGTAAAAGAAATTCAGGATGATTTAGAGAAACTGAGTCCTCATAAAATCAAACATACTAAAAAGGTAAGATGTAATTATCCTTCAGGCTGTGAGTAACTTATTGACAGAAAGTTTTCTAGCTAATTGAGTTTCATTGTCTAGGGTACACCTAGGCCCTCTTCAGAAGGGAGATTTTCTTTGTTTCTTGCACCTTTCATCTCATTCTCACAGAAGTATGTCTCACTTGGTCTGATACTGCCTTTGCTGCTTCCCTCTTCTCCTCAGTTCTTATCTGTCTACAGTAAACTGGAGAGGAAGGCTGTTGGTCTTCTGCTTTTATGTGGCTTCCAATTCCTTCTTCATTCCACTTCCTTTTCTGAATAACAGTATGTTCTACTCTTGACTACTTTTTTTTAACTTCCTGTTGATGTCACTCAGTCTTATCAGCCTCCTTTCTGATTTTTTTCTCTGCCCAGCATCTTTCAGAAAGATAGTACTGAGATCATGCCTACTGTTTGGCCAATATTGTCCTGTTGTTCTCTTGTGCTTTTCCATCACTTGTATTTTCTTCTGTAACAAAAACTGGAGGATGGAGAATGTTCTATGTTTGTGCAATTGTTGCACATTAGAGTCAAGCCCGTGACTACAGTACTCTGTTGGTGTAGGTAGTAGAAATATCAGAATATGTCATAACCAGGCTATTTTACCTGAAGCTAGCATGATACTTGATATGAGTACTGTTGTGTAGTACTTTAGTAGATTGCTCAAATGCTGTTTTGTTTTGTTTTGTTTTGTTTTGTTTTGTTTTGTTTTGTTTTGTTTTGTTTTGTTTTGTTTTGTTTTGTTTTGTTTTGTTTTGTTTTGTTTTGTTTTGTCTCACAAATGGCCTCATATCCATCAGAATTATCCCAAGCCTCAGTGTTTCTCTGTGAAATTTTGGCAACAATTCTTTGAATAGTATCAGTATTCATAGAAACTATAGCTATTAAAGCATTTATTTTTCATTTTTCCAGTCTCGAGCAGTATCCAGATTGGCAGCAGCGCACAGAGGAGCTGTACGAGCCTTGCAGGCATTTGCCAATCAGTTTACAGATCAAACAGAGCAGCAGATTCCTACCCACTACAAGGAACTGGGCAGTCTCATTCGACAACTGTCCCTCTGTTCTGCCAAACTAGAAGTGGATTCTTCCATTTCTGACGTTATCATAGATATTTTGCTGCAAGTTGAGGTAGGAAAAAACAAAATGTTTTTGCTAAGGCAGAAAAGACCTAGTGAAATATGACACTACAAACTATATTGTGTGTTCATGAAATGGCAGAATATCTTACTGTTGGGTTGATTTTTTTAAAGGCCAATTTTCTAATGTATAAATATGTTTCTAAAGTTCCTAAATAATGGTGGTGTAAAACAGAGTTGCATCTTAAACACGGAAGCTACCTGCTGCTTTTCTTGTTGATGCTGTTCCTGTCTTTACTGGCTCTCCTGGTAGAATGAGGACTGGTAGTGATAGTGGTTAACAAAGCACCAGTTTCTGGTTCGTTTGCCATTTTCAGGACTGAAAGAATTGCATTTTATACATTGGTGTAAGTTACGTGTTTATTGTTTTGCAATGCATGCTTTAGTCATCAGAATTAGTGATAAGCATCTGACCTCACACATGGTGGTGGGTGCAGAATTGTCCAGGCAGAAGATAAAGTTGTAGCTACAAGAGTTACTTAAGCTCTATGCCCTTCAAATGACTTTTGTTAGTGATATCTGGTGTCTTAAAACATGTTGTTAGTATAACAGGAAAGTTCTGATTCACATTTCCTGCTGCAGTTCCTGCCTACAAGATTTTTTTTTTAACTAAGAACCTATGTAACCCGAACTATTATGAAACCAGTATTTAATCAATTTAAATAAAAGGAACTGATACGATAGCCATAAGATATTTTATTTTCCTTAAAATATTGTTATTACTGTAAGAGCTGTGTTTTTATTTTTACTGTTCTGAACTGCTTATGAGAACAGCAACAGTGCTAACTGCCTGGGAACAGGAAAGGAGGTAGAATTGTTTAAGTTTGGACTTAGCACTGGAAGAAGTGTCTGTCTGTCTTACCACAGTCATGTGGGCATTCTTTGTCTGTAGCCTTTGTGTCCATTTCTTTTTGAACATGCTGTAAGCAGATAATTTGCTGGAGTCAATTGTAAATATAAAAATGCAAGGCTTTTCTGTAAGATAATAATATGAAGAAGCTTCTGCATGAACAAGCTATCAGGAATAATCACTACCACAAAAACAAAACCACACCAAAAAAGTTCCAACTACATAGAATCTCTTGAATTTGCTTCTCATTATTACATCAGGTTTACTGAGAGTGTAATTAAAATCCTAAATATTTGGTGCAGGATCTGGATTCACTGCTGGAAAAGAAACAAACACCAAAAAAAGTGAAGAAATGTATTTCAGCATCTCAGGGCAAATCTCCAAGGAACACAGAGACATTTCCAGCCAGAAAGCAGCTTACATCTCCAAAAGGAGAAAACAAATCTCTCAGCTTAAAGGGACAGCACAGACAAGAACCTAGAAAACCTCCAGCTGCCAGGAGTCTCTTGACTGGTTTGTATTTTGAATTACTAAATACATTTTTATCAGTTAACTTACCATCTGCAGTTCGGTTTTATAGTATGTTATGTATTGTTGGTCAAAAGTGTGTAACAGCCCATATGTCGTTATCAGATTCACATAGCCTTGTTATGCATTTTTTTTCAGCTGTTTCCCTGAGGTGATAGACCTGCAGGGTCTCTTTGTAACTATATTATCATCATCATCATGTTCTTCCTATTTTTGTCCATTTCTTTTACTGTGGGCTACACTTGGATTGTTTTTCTGCAGTGTACACCTAAATGGCAGTTTACAAGTTGACATTAATGGAGCATACAGAATATTTCCAAATATCTACCTAGAAAATACTGTATAAATATATTATTTTGGAATGCAAAGTCTCTGACTGTTAGCAAATCTCCCAACAAAGCTATTGTTGTTTAACAGTTTACAGTGAAAACATTTACTGAAGCCTTGGCTCAGAATTTCCTTGGTTTGTGCAGTTTCTCTAGTTTTGAGGGGGGTGGCAGTGTTTTATTCTTGCCAGTTCATCAATGTTACTGTCTTCTGCACAATAATCACAGTTTCAGTACCTAGAGACACGTTAACTTATAGTTAAGCTGAAGACTTTGTTTTTTTTCACTACTAGTTCACCATGCAACCTTTGGGAATTGGTTTACTTTATTGTTCTTCATATATGAAAGGAAATGGGCTTTATTCTTTCACCTGAAGTATTTTGACACCTCATGAAAGCCATTATAGCTTATTACATTATTATATAACCTATATTAATTTTTTTGTTCTTTGGTGTGTCTTTCTCATACCTCATACTGGCTTTTACTAGAATAGTAAGTATTCCTTTCTACCCCTAAGTAAGGGTGAGAAGAATTCTATGAGATGAATTCATCTTTGGCAGTCCAGAGAGGCAGTATATTGACAAGCATCAAATGGTTTCCACGTGTCTTGCTGCCTGAAAAAAGAATGTTTTGTTATCACTGCCTAGACTTCATATGGCAATTACTACCAAAAGGCTTTCCCATGGTTTTCATATATATGTGTATTTTCAAATATCTATATACGTATAAATATGTATATGCACACAAACCCCAAAATCTCCTGTTCATTGAAACAGTGTAAGAAAGACAACTTATTTAATACATGACAGGAAATACAAGGGGTTGGTATAACAGAAGTATCAAATGTAGAAATAAAGATGATTCTTGCCCCTTTCAACTTACAGTTGAAAGTTTATTTATTATTTTTGACACAGATAAACATTGACATGTTGCAAATATTTCAGCAGTTCAGAAGGCAAACAGTTGCGCTCATATATTGCACAATAAATTCCAAGAAAATGACCCACGTACTCCAGAGAGAACTGCCACTTTGCAAGGAAACATAGACGCATTGGTGAGAGCTAGAGCTGTAAAAAAAGATCCCATCCTTGAAAGTGGCCCTTTGAAGAAGAAAGGTGTGTTATTACCCGCAAAATCACAGGTATGGAAGTGATAAAAGAATTTATGCTTTCTTCTATTTCTCCTCTGGGATTTGTTATATAATGTAAGATGCTGTCATGCTTTGCACTGATCCTCAGTGCAATCCTCACAATTTTTTTATTCTGAGCTAGGAGGCATAGGGGGATAAAGTATGTCATCCGCCTACGTTATTTCTAGTGGTTATGACTATTTTATCAAATGTTTTTTGAAAGTAGTGTTATTGTTCCTTGGAAACTCACTATACAACTAGAAACAATGAATAACAGGATTAGCAAGGAAAGCTTTCACCGAAACTAGTTTCATGTTTGAAATTAGCATGGTTATTTTTCAGCTTGAAATTAAAGCTGAAATATTTTCCTCTTATTGGTCATCCTCTGTCATGAAAAACGCACTCAGCAGTAATGTTGTGCTAATGCTACTGTTAGTAGGAGTTAGGCAGATTTACTTCATTGATTACAGAAATTGTAAAACTTCACAGTACAAATTCTGGTTTCTGGTAAGTCCTTCTTGCAATCAGCAAGAGGCTTCTGTAATGCAAACAAATAAGTTCTTTAAAGAATATTTCAAAATGCTAAATTTGGCATATAGTTGGGGTTTTTTATTAAATGCTCTTTTTTTTCCTTCCTCAGAGTATCACCATCAGCTTGAAAAATCATATCTGATACAGTAACATATATGTATGCATATGTAACTTTTACTGCTTCCCATATCTATCTATCTATCAGTGAGGACTGTGAGCAGGAAGGTTAAGCATTTAAATAATTCATACTGAGGGGACTAGTCGAAGTGTCCTTGTAGCGAATACAAATATGGCAATATTATAGTTTCATGGCTGAATAAAATGTTACCGTGGAAACCTTCTATTTGGATTTATTAAGAGTTAACAGAGTCTAATTCTGAAAATTTCAAAAGAAGTTTTTCCCCATGAAGAGCAACATTGGAAAAATTGGAACTGTTTGCAAAACTAATAGTTGCAGGATTAAGCATATGTTCTGTTCAGGCACAGTTGTACTTCCCTTTAAATCAGTTGTAAAACCTCCACACATCAACTGTGCAACAAACCCAGCAGGCATGACTTCAAGACAAATTCTGAAGCAGAATGCAAAATACTTTAAAAATCCAACAACTGGAATATGTTTTTAATGTGATT